GAGGTCAAAGGTAATCATCACTCAGTGTATTGCTGCTTATTACAGCTCTACTCAGTTTTTTTTGGATCTGTCAGAAAATTATGTAGTGTATTATGCCAATTTGAATACTTTTCTCCTCAGTTATTAAAATGGTTATTATTATCCATTAAAAAACTAAATTACAATATTTTATAATTGATAAAATCATGGAGGTCAAAGGTAATCATCACTCAGTGTATTGCTGCTTATTACAGCTCTACTCAGGTATTTTGGATCTGTCAGAAAATTATATAGTGTATTATGCCAATTTGAATACTTTCCTCCTCAGTTATTAAAATCGTTATTATTATCCATTAAAAAACTAAATTACAATATTTTACATTTGATAAAATCACAGAGGTCAAAGGTAATCATCACTCAGTGTAGTGCTGCTTATTACAGCTCTACTCAGTTTTTTTTGGATCTGTCAGAAAATTATGTAGAATTTGATCGCCTCATAATTCGACTTTTGGAAACAATGATTTTGAAAGTAAAATTCCTAACCCAACACGAGTTACTCAACAACTAACTGCCAACTGAATATTTTTCTCATCAGCAAAAATTCAATTAACAGTTCATCTTAGCAAAAATTTCGTTTTTGAGATTTTTTTTTCTGCCTCTAAAAAATTAGAGGTGAAAATTAACAGCAACCCACGAAATTCTTAATTACGTTAATCGAGTCGAAATTCCACGTTCATAGACTCATATTTAGTTCGCCTTTAAATGAAGACTGAAATGTGTTAATCAAAAGCTTAAGTTAATGACTTCGCAGGCATAAAAAAATCTAAACTAAAAAAAAGTAATTTTTTTCAATTGAAAATAATTAAAAGAGAAGGCACCTGCTTTCTTAATTACTTTAACGATTCAACGTAATGAGCACTTTTGATTGAATTTAAAAGATAGATATCATGTGAAATAAAAACCACTTAACACAAATTCTCTTAATTTCATCAACGAGTTTTTTTTTCCTTATTTCTTACGAATAATCAGGAACAAATTTTGATTAAGTTATTTTATTCAGTTCTTATATTTTTCCTCAGAATGACTTCTTGACTAGTAAAATATTTCATTAGGCGTTGTTTTTTAATGTGATTACTTCGTTGAAATTAAATATAGTAAAATAACTCTCCGCATAAAAATATGTTTAAGGTATTCATTCAAGAAAAGGGAATGATTTTTTTTCATCAGCTTATACCACTTTACTGCAATTTTTCTCAAAAAGTTTTCGCAATTTTAAAACAATTTTAAATTAGCATTTAATATCTCTAGTTTGTTTTTAAAGAAAAACGTCTAGTTTTCCGGCAAAATATTTAATCTATTGTAGTTTAAAAATATTTATCAAATCGCAAATTTAAAAAAAGCTATTATTTAATAGTTTTTTAGGTATTTTTCAAATAAGAGCAATATTTTGTAATGCAATCACTTTTGCGAGATTAATAAACTCAATGTAATATTTACTTGGGTAACTCTTATCTGAATTTTTTTTTAATTTTAATTATTGTTATCGTTATTACACAATTTTGTTCAATAAAACTAAAATATACTGTATTTAAAACCATTCATTTTATAATTTTTTTGTTCATA